CAATCCCTCGTCGGTCTAATGAACCCAAACGCCCCACAGAGACTCATTCCTCAGTAATAATCTCATTATCTGAGACGTCTCGTCTGCTCGAGACAATAGAGGACTAGATGAACATGATGAGTGATGAAACACTGGAGACTCAAAGGAGTCGAACTAATACGACACACTGAATCATTTATGGTGATTCAACCCTAGATCCTCTCGGATGAACCGGCTTTGTTTCGTTTCGCAGCACAATACAGGCAAAACATCTCAGCAAGGCAAATAAAGCCAATACAAAGAGGCAGATTTGCATAAGATTCGCGACTGAAACACGAACCCTCAGACAGACCATAATACTGCCACTGTTCCCCACGGCAACACACACGCTGTCATTGTGTGTTACAGGAACAGTCCAGCGATTCATTAACTCTGCTGTTACAGCAAATTAACAAAATAAATCATGTGGATTGGACTGGAATTAACAGGAGGAAACGATGATGGGATGATCATTTTCAGTGAACTTAAAACGTTTACAGCCTTGAAAGGCAACAACCGGTCTGAGAGAGAGAGAGAGTGTGTGTGTCCATTTATGGCCTGTGAATTTGCGAGTGTGTGTGTGAGAGAGAGAGTGTGTGCGTGCGTGCGTGTGTGTGTGTGTGTGTGTTCTGTCTCTTTAAATGTGCAGTCAGGCCTGCAGAGGTCAACGACCTCGACACTAAATAACCAACACACAAAACACATCTAAACTAAAACCACTGAAAACAGCTTCTGTTCAGTGAAATCAAGCAGAAACAACATAAAACATGAGTGTCAGATGAAAAAGTTCAACTTTAATGAAGATTAGAAATATTGCCTTGGCAACTATCTGAATAAGTTGAAGTACTAAAATTACTAGTGCGACGTGATTAATCACATCCAAAATAAATGTTTTTCTGTACATAGTATGTGCGTGTACTGTGTATATTTATTATGTATATAAATACACACACATGCATGTATATATGTAAGAAAATGATCCAGAAAGAAACACGATGCATTAAGAGCCTTCATTTAATTTGTCTTCCGGGAAACATGCAAGTAACTTCTGTTGCTTCCGAAGGGCAGAACTAAATGGAAAAAAATGATATTTAATTTATTTGGACATCTTCATCCTGTTCAAAAGTGCTCACCTGCTGGCCACAGAACAGCTGCAGCCTTCAGAAGCTGTGAAGGAACTGATCTGGAGTCAGTGTTTGTGAGATCTGACCATCTGTCAGCCGTTAATCACACTAACCGAGCCGTTAACCCGCTCCAAACCAGTCCTCGGACCATCAGCACTCCAGCAAACAAGAACTAGACTAGACCCGAGAAACACGAGCAGAACACGTGACCAAAACACCTCAGCCTCATTCAGAACTCTCACAGAACACACACACACACACACACACACTCACACTCACACTCACACACACTCACTCACACACACACACTCACACTCACACTCACACACTCACTCACACACACACAC